CATAGTACCAGGGATGCTATATGTTACAGTCATTACAACAACAACACCCGTAAACGCCAGACTTAAATTCTATACCTTATCGTCGAATTCCACTCAAGCGTCAAATCACTAATGACAAATAATCCCTTATTACTACAAACATCCCAGATCCTGCAAATCAGAACGATACTGCCTAATTTAAAAAAGCTACCAGGGTCAATCTAGCCTATCGTTAGTGTGAAAATTTCATCAAAAAAACACCTCTTACAAAACTGATTCTTCTGCTCCGGACACAGGTTTTGCGATTCAGATAGTGAAATTCCTCAGGTTATCAGAAATCTTTTTATTTGCCCGACCTTTGAGACAGAATAAATAAAATCAACGAAAAAACGTTTCAAACTCAACCCAACCGTTTAACAAAAAGCAGTCCAGCGCTTAAAAAATACCATTTCTAAAAAAGTATGCACCATTTTACGAACAGTCCTCAAATATTCAACACTGTAGTGGAAGAAGAATAACAGTAGAAGTAACAAATGTACCTTAAAAAGTTCACAGTACCAGAGATGCTATTTGTTATAGTCATTACAACTGATTATTTTACTTTGAAAAATCCAAAAATTTAAAAAAGAAGTTTTTATACAATATGTAACAAAAAACACTTGTTAAACATTATAGTTATTATAAAAAAAAAGGCAGTCATAAAGCAAACAGTAAGAACCTACCTGTTCTGTAACAATGAATCGAAAGTCTAGCAACTGCTTTTTTAATATAGGTACCAAGAATTCGATTAATCTGGTAAGATGAGACTGACGATCGCGAAATGGTATTATAATTGCCACCTAGAAGAAATGATGAATTAGAAGCAGTAGTAGTGAATATAATTACTAACAAGAGTCCAACTCTTCTGCAAAATTTACGGATTGAAAAATCAAATCGGAAATTTGAAGTCTTTACATTGCTTCCTAACGTAAAATATATCAGAAAAATTATATTCACTACTACTTTTACATTTACTGCCTTGTAACTAGAAATCCTTTCTGCTTCAAGAGTAAAGTAAAAACCTTTTTATCGACGGCGTTAACGTTAACATAGCAACTTATTCCTTGATAATTAGCAACTACTACAAAACAGATTAAACCTTATATCTTGCTACACATTTTGCTGGTTTCCAATGCCCTCCAGGTTCTAGGTACGGATGATCCATCATTATATCAGCTTCCTTTAAAGTTGTTATGAGAAGTACTGCTTGTTTGAGGTGTCCCTCTAAAAATCAACAGTGAAAGAAAAAAAGCAATTTGTAATCAAAACAAATGAATCCGCAGACAAATCAACTATGGAATAACACTGTGAACAAAAAGCAAAGCCTGCAAATGATATAAGATCTAAAAATTTAAAAAAAAAAAAGTAGGTGCAAACCTAAATAAGGGTTATCATTAACATCTGGACAAAGGACTGAGTCATTAAGCTTTAGGTTTCGAGACTGCAGTTCATCTACACGCTTCACTTCAGCTGCAAGAGATACTGACGAAGAATCCGAGCCATTATCCATCACAACAACAGGATCCGGAGACCTTAACTACCCCTCATAAAAAATGATTCTCCAATCTCAAAAGCATAATTGCTAGCAAATTAAGTAATAAATTAAATTTAAAAAAATGAGCCTTAAGCTAAATTTTGTCTCTGCTCCTTTTTAAATGAGTACCTCATCCTTTCTTTGAACCCCTCAATGCTAGACTGTACAAGAGCCTCGACAATCTCTTCCTTCTTCGTAAAAGTTGCAATATTTTGCTGTTCCTTTACACCTTTTGCTACATCTAACGCACTATCCGGCTGAACAGGTTTCCGCCTAAAATGAATTGTACAGAACGTTAAGCACAATCGAACAAGACAACGAGTAGAAGTAAATCATCAGCAAACTGCAAAAATAAAACATTTATAACACTGAAAAATATAAACAAAAGATGAAAAAGATGAAGAGGAAAAATCTAGAACAATTTAAGAAGCGACCAGTAGAAAAAGCAGTAAAAAATTTAGCTGCGACATACAAATAAAGTGTTACTTGACGAACTGAACTTCTGAGTGAACAAATATCCCCCTCACCCTTAAATTCTTCATCACTATTGATAATGGTGGTACCATTTCTACAACCATCGGAGCCACTCAGCTGGATAATTTATTTTTTAGCAATTCTTTTTTCTCACACATATCCCAACCAATAAAATACAAGTAATAGTCGATATATTAATAAAGCGCGTTTTACGTATATGACACCCCCTCCCAAACCAAAAAGCGCTTAACGTGATGAAACTGTTGCTTTTTAGGGCAAATGCAGAGGCCAACAACTAATAAAGAACAATATCATGACTAAGATAAAACACTAAACATCTAAAACTAGCATAACTTTTTACATCATATAATATATAATATAT